ATGACCCAGTACACTCATGAACAAATTTATGCCTAGTTTATATCAAGGGGTCTGAGATTTTACCATACTTGCAAGCTACTAGGGTAATCTATTACAGTTCTGTGGATGTTAATTGAGGATACAAGACTCCTGGGACAAACACAAAGGATAGTTTATGACTTACACCAATAGCAGTAGCCAGAGTATCAGCATATTTGCATCAGTTCCCTGAGCCCCACGGTGACATGAGGAGGGCCAGACAACACCTGCACACACGGCAGCTTGTGTTATTGGCAAGGACCCCTGAGTTTAGGGAACTTGAATCTTTTTTTTTTTTTTAAATTGTGCTTTGTGTGCAAATTTACAGGGCAGAATTTGTTTTACATTCAACAGTTCACGCACATTTGGTTTCATTCCCTGGGAACTTGAATCTTTTATAATGGACAGCAATCATACCTGCTCTTTGCTTTGTAGGGAGACATTATATATTTTTATACTGGACCATAAGCATGCCTGCTAAGTTTCTCTGAATGTCTCATATATTGCCATAGTTTTCTCCCATCTCTGCTGTTTTATGCATCAACACTGGGAATGGGGTAACAAACATGAGGACGGTAATTCTTTGATGAACCTATCCAGAATTTTGTAACCAGAATATCTAGACAGAAGTTGATTTCCAGACATTTAAGTTTTGTGTTATTTAAAAAATTTATTTATTAAACATGGAGAGACACTATAACCTTTCCAGTTCTTTGGGACTTAATCCCTCATGATTTCTGTCTGACCCTTCCTCACTCATTTTACCAACAGAAGACAGACCATGGGATTCATTTCATTGCATTATTGTGCACGTACTGTATATTACCCAGAAACAGATGGTGGTTTGATATAAGAGGGCCTATTGAAGGTGTATGCACAGTGGACCTTTGGACACTGGGGATTTCTCTGGCAGGATGAAAAACATGTTCCATGTCTGCAAGCCCAATATATGAGGTTTCCTACAGCAAAAATACAGTAATTTGAGAAACAAAGGGGTGGAGGGTGAATTGTTCTTTTTAAGATTTTACTTAAGAAGTCACTACCAAAGGTTTGCATTTTGTGCTCTAAACTTTGAGTTCCAATAGTCACGTGGTCTAAATCACAAAGGTAGAATTGGTTCTCCCAGTGAACACAGTAGTTCCACTGAATTGGAAACAAACACTGCCATATGGCCATTTTTACGTTCTTGCATATTAGGAAAACAGGCAAAAGGGGGTATGATTGATCCATTGAGGGACAGTAGAGCTGCTATACCACAATAAGGAGCTCTGGTGGTGCAGTGGCTAAGGCGTTCCACTGCTAACCAAAAGGCCGGTGGTTTGAACCCACCAGCTGCTCCACAGGAGAAAGATGAGGCAGTCTGCTTCCATAAAGGTTTACAGTCTTGGAAATCCTATTGGGCAGTTCTACTCTGTCCTGTGGGGTTGCTATGAGTTGGAATCGACTTGATGGCAGTGGGTTTTGAATTCTAACACAATTAAGGATGAGGCACATGCTTTTATCACCATGCCCCAGGATAAAGATCCATGGAAGACAGTTCCAGGATTACCAAAGGCTCAGATACCTCAGGAATGAAGGTAGCTCACCCCCCTGATGGGCTGAAGTGCTGTTCAACAGCAAAGGGACTCAGGGAATGCATAGTGGAGAGGTAAGGCGAATATCACCCTTAGCTTTAGTTACAGAGAAAAGGGTCACAAACTTCTTCCATTTCTTGTTTGCTGCCAAAGTGTAATAATTATCACCATTTCCTCCCGTTCTGAGTAGAAGCTAAGAAAAACTGGTGTCACCTAGAGATCTTGGACTCAAAGCACAGTAGCTCTGTGACATTACCTCTGGACCCCATAGCTGGCAATGACTTTGGATTATGTCCTCTTGGGGAGGTGGTGAATGTATTGGTAATTACATGCAAAATAGTTGGAATATGTTAGCAGGGGCATCTTTGAATCTACAGGAAGGCAGATGTGTGCATGGCATGCCCATACATGGAACAGACCACGTTTCGAATCTCAGAAACATTAAATAACTTCCCCAAGTTTACTATCTAACTTTTCCAAGTGAGTGATGAAGCTGGATAAAAACCTGCTGTAAGCTGTTAGCGATAGGGGCAAGTGGGTGTGGGCTATACGAGAAGTCTCTGTATTATCTTCCCAACTTTTTCGCAAATCTAAAACTATTCTAAAATTAAAAAGTTTATTAAAAGAAACACACTAGGTTTTTCAGCTGCAGAGTCTAAAAGCCTACACTTTTGACCGTATCTCCAGATACGTGGCTCAAATAAAGCTCAGAAGAGACAGCTAACCAACTCCTATTCCCTAGGTCCCCAGAATGGTTCTCATTCCCACCCAGGAGAAGAACTGATTATCCAGATTTTGCATGATCTGACTTTCTGTAGAGTCCTTCCAATACATTTCCCTTTTCGTTATAATTAGACAGGCTCTCTAATACTTGCAGTCCAGTACCAATGATGACAATAACAATACCCTCTAACACGTAGAGCACTTACTGTGTCCCACTCTTCTAAGTACCTTAATGTATTATCGTATTTGATCTTCACCACAACCCTGTTAGAGTAAGCATTATTATTACCATCTCCACCTTACAGGTGAAGAAACTAGGCACAAAGAAGTTCCGTAACTTCCCACGGTCCTGCATCTAGTAAGTGGCAAACCTAGGAAGTCAGGCCCCAGAGTCTGGTCTGTCATCTGCTTCGCTGCACTGCCCTCCCACCCAAACGTGAATGACCTACGGGCATGGCCCCTGCTGACAGCTTTCACAACTGGGCTATCTGGACTAGAGACCTATGCACCTCTTCTGGTGTCCCTCTGCCCTCCGAATATATTGACCTCTTTGGACTAATTGGGAATAGTGCTTGACAGAGCACGCCATGATGTGTCCTTTGGAATCTACATGCAACACGGGGGTTTGTAAACCACTGCCTCACTTGCATACAGTGTCCTTCCAATGCTCCCATGATGGGTTACATTTCCCATCCTTCACATACCAATTTGATTTTGAAGGTACCTCAAGAAACCTAAATTGCTTCCTCTTCATTTCCTGGGAGGCTCTGAAAACACTCCTGATGAATAGCCTCCTTCCCCACCTATCTTTCCTGGCATAACTGCCTTCTGCTCACACTTCTTGGAAAGTCTCAACTAAGGGGCTCTGATACCACGGAATGGGCTCCAGCTAATGTCATGATGTTATTAAGTGCCGTCCAGTTGGCCCCAACTCATAGAACCATGGACAACAGAACAAAACACTGCCTGGTCCTGTGCCGTCCTCACAATTGTGCTTGAGTCCATCGGTGCAGTCACTGTGTCTCCTTCTTTGAGGGACTTCCTCTTTTTCACTGACTCTGTACCTTGCCAAGCATGCTGTCTTTCTCCAGGGACTGATCCCTTCTGATAACATGTCCAGAGCACATGAGACAAACTCTCACCATCCTCACTTCCATATACTGCATTCTGCTGTATTTCCTCCAAGACAGATTTGTTCATCGTTCTGGCAGTCTGTGGTATATTCAGTATTCTTTGCCACACCATCATTTAATTTTCCTTTACTTACACTTTACACATTCCACATTCTGATTACTAGTGTGTGTTTGCAGCTGTTACTTCCCATTTTGAATCACACAACATCAGAAATGAAGGTCCTGGAGACTTTACTCAGTCCACATCATTAAGGTAGACTCCTCTTTGAGGAGCCATATTTTGCATTTCTTCTTCTTCTTCTTCTTTTTTAAAATTGTGATTTGGGTGAAAGTTTATAGAGCAAATTCACTTTCCATACAGCAGTTCACATACACTTTGTCTCATGAGATTGACTACAATTTACCCCAATGCAACAGCTCCCCTCCCACTTCCTCCTGATAGTTACCTCTTCCCTGTGTCCATCCCTCCATGTACTCCTGCCCCCTGAGCTGTCTCCCTGTGCATAAGCAGCCCTTCTTTCTCCCACTCTGTTCTCTCCAAGGAGTATCTACCTCAGGTAAATGTTCACCTCATATGCCTGTCTTTTCTTTGGCTGGAAACCACAGGTGTGGGTTCAATTCCAGACCTGAAGGGCAGCTAGGGGCCATAGTCACACTGGTTCCACCAGGCTCTATCAGACCAGCAAACCTGGTCCTCTTTTTTTTTTCCCCCAAATGATTTTGAGTTTTGTTCCACATTGTTCTCCCTCTCTATCCAGGATCTCCCTCTGAGTGGTTGACAGTGGTAGCCGGGCACCAGCTAGTTCTTCTGGTCTCATAGTTGTATAGGCTGCAGATTGGATGGTGTACCAGTTGCTAGGACTAACTGTTTCCACAAATCTTTGGTTTTCTTCATTCTTCTTTGCTCTGGACGAGGAGAGACCCGTAATTGCATCTAGATGGCAGCTTGCAAGCTTTTAACATCTCAGTATTTTGTGTTTCTTCTAACCTGAGGGTCTTGTCTTCTAGCACCGTATCAGACGATGTTCTGTTGTCACCCAGAAGGTTTTCACGGGCTAATTCCGCCCCCCCCCAGGGGATCTTCAGGTTCTTCTTCTGAGTCTGTCTTAGTCTGGAAGCTCCACTGAAACCCGTCCACCAGGGGTAACCCTGCTGGTATTTGAGATACCAGTGACATAGCTTCCAGCCTCACAGCAACACTCAAGCCACCACCACAGTATGACAAACACACAGGTGGTGGCTCCAGGCAATAAGAGCCAAAAAATACAGAAAACCCATTTCACGCAGAGATGTTTATCATTTTATATTTTTAAAAAACATCACGGAAAATCCTTTGTCTATTTGCTGACATAAGAAATTTTTCATGTATTCAAAATTATAAAATGGAAGGATAAACATATTGATGAATAGGAATTTGAATTAAAATGGTAATGCTGTAGTATTTAGTCTCCCGTGTATACTTAATATTTAAGATATTGTTCTAGGAATTATTTAATAAATCTAGGAAATAAAGAGAAAAATTGTGATTATCTTTCATTCACCATTCAGAATTTCATCTATGAGCCTGTTGAAAGACAACGGTATTTGAAAAATTCATTTTGTTTCTTCTCAACAGTGTTTTGCATAGATCCCACGGGTGAATGTTATGCAGTTTGAACATAAATACTATGAAGATTAATCCCCCTAGCATGATGGCTGCTGCGATGGCAATAAGGGTGTGGCCTGGAAATGGCAGAGGTGCTTCGTCAACATAAATCTACAACAGAAAAAGTCTTTAAGCTTTTTGAATCTAGTCATTCAAAAGAGTGAACTCTATACGATTCCCACAACCGTGGTGATGCTATTAATCACTTAGCAAAATTCTGCCCAGACATATACAGACATTCATCAACCACAAAAGCTTAGAAATAGTCTCCTGGCCATCTGACAAGAAACACTTTGCACACTCTAAATACGGAATTGAAATTCCATTTGTTATCCTATGCTTTATCCTGTGTCTTTAATGGCCAATCACACCCCTCTGTATACAGTTACAGGGCAATGGGCTGAGTGCTGTGGGAAAATGGAGGCTGGCGGGTCTCACTGCCTAGGGCAGTGCAGGGGATAGGCTTCCTGAGCTCGATGTTGAGGAGGAAGTGGGGCGCAGGACAGGGAGAAAATGGGACATCCCAGGCAGTGTGGGCTCTTTCAAGCTGTCATCTCTTTTGAATATCCTCTATATAGGTGTTGATACAGGCAAGGAAGGGAGCCAACGTACATTCACTACAGAAGTGGGGGTTAAGGGGACAACCAACAACTTTGGTTTTCTCTATGAACTAGGTAGCAAATCATCTCTTGGGTAGAAGAAAATGTGAAAAAATGCTAACAACAAGAAAAAGGACTGACAAGCTGCCCTGAGTATATAGCTCACATTAAAAGCACCTTCATGCTCCTAGCAACCCAAGGAGGTCCTTCTTTTCTGAGAAATAGTCCATACATACTGTCTGTTCTTTTACAGTTCGCTCCTATTCGTTCTTCCCATTTTTATTTGTATAAATGCATGGTATGAAAAGGCTGTCGTAGTTTTCAAAGGTCCACTCCTGACATTGTATGACATTGTATGCTGCACCCAGCTTGTTACGGGTTGACTTGTGTTCCCCCAAAATATGTGCTGGAATCCTGACCCTTATTCTGGTGGATGTCACTCATTTAGGAACTGGGCTTTCTTTGTTATGTTAATGAGACGATCTCAGTGTAGAACGTTTTAGACCTAATCACTTCTGAGATAAAAAAAGAACAGATTGGGTACAAAAGCCAGCAAACAGAAACAAGGAAAAGACACACTATGGAGAGATGACAGGGCAGATGTATCTACATGCTCGGGAACCAAGGACTGCTGGCTACTAGAAGCTGAAGTGATAGGAAAGGACTTCTTGGTAGAGCCACACATGGGAGTTGAACTTCTGACCTTCTGAACTGTGAGAAAATGAATGTCCATCCTTTCACACTCCCACTCGTGGTATTCTGTCCCAGCAGTTGCAGCAAACTAAGGCACAGCTCTGGGAAGAGCCTCCTAGTACTCACTCATCTCCATCTCTAAAATCCTGTCTGTAGACCAATTTCTTCTTCTGTTTTTAAACTAGCCACATTCTCTTATGCTTAAACCAAACTTTAAAAATAACTATTCACACATCTTTGTCCATCACCATGAAGAGATATTTGATACTTCATCCCCTCACTACACGCCCCTTCATGGGGCTCAATCTTGAATTTTTATCCTTAGATCACATAAACTCAGTTAATACGTGAACTGTTTTGTTTGCATAGTTTCAGTTACCCCTATACCAACAGACATCTCCCAATACTACCCCATCAATTCAGAATTACCATACATCTCAACGGCTTAGTTTCATATTTTTTGGCTTCTTTTTCTGTCTTTGAGACATTGTGGTTTTGGCGATATGCCATCAATACTTGACACAGAATGTGTCATTAACCATTTAATCAAATCCTCACTCCTTCCCTCCACCCACAGACAGCAGATGACATTATATGAATGAAGAAAATGAGGAGTTGTTTTCACAGGTTATATGGGGAGATCAATTTGTACACACACACACACACACACACACACACACTGGAATAGTACTCTGACATGAGGAAGAGTGAAGTCCTGATAAATGCCTCGGCATGGGTGAACCTTGACAACACTATGCTGGGTGAAGTAAGTTGACCAGAAAAGGACTTACTAATATGAAATATCTAGAAGAGATATGGGTAGAGATCAGAGTTTAGGGGGAGTTGCTAGGGACAGGAGGGACGGGAAATGGAGCAGTCACTGTTTTGTTTATGGGGATGGAAAATTTGCCAATCGTTACTGGTGATGGTGATGCTATCAAAACATGAGTGATGTAATCTGTGTCACTGAATTGTACACGTAAAAGTGCTGAAGTGACAAATATTGTTATTTATATTTTTACAACAATTAATAAAAATGAAAAAAAGAAAATCAAACTAAATATAGAAGGTGGAGAAGGTACAAAACAAATACAGTCACTTGTTACTTTTTCTCCCACATCACTTGGTCCTGCCGTCTGTCATGCAATAGTTTTACCATGACTGATGACTGCATCACCATCTAGGGTCCCCTGTCTCCTCCTAACATTGCCCATTATACAAATCCTATATGTATATTTCTTCTCTTCAGTGTCAGTGCTTATTGTCTTATCTTTCCCCAGCCATCACCCCATTTGATACCTTGTGCAGTCACTGTACCTGAAATTCTTCAACTAAGTTACAAAAAGTGACCCCTGGAACAACAGATATTTTGAAGTGGAAGAGCTCAGAGCCCTGTGGAAAAGACATATCCAGTCATTAACAGCATCAGGAAGTATGTTCCTTTAAGTAAACATAGACCCGGGGCAAACTTTTCCAATAGCTGCTGCAAAGAAGGATTGCCATCCTCTTCCTAAGGCTCTTAGGCACACACTTCAAACATCAAAATAAAATTGAAATGAAACAAGAGTTTAAAATAAGGATTAAGTAGCTGATTTTTTTTTTTTTTTTTTTTAAGAATGAAGAGACAGAAGTATAAAACCTAACTTGGCCTTAGTGAGTTTGGGGGCTTACCTTTATATTTTTGTTCTGCTATAGCCTGTCATTTTTGTTGGCTCTCTCAAGTACCTGGATCATGTCACCTTTATGTGTTCTTAGGGGCAGCTGGCACAGGAAGACGTGTGTCTGTGTACATGCAGGTGAAGAATACCGAGCCCATTTCCCCCTAACTTTGGGAAACACCCTCTCTGCTCTGCTCTGCTACCTAATCTTTCAGTCTTCCTTCTAGCTCAGGGAAGAGTGATTTGATGTTCAATTCGGCTTTCAGATACCCTTAGAAATAATGATGTTCAGGGAAATAGAGCGAAAAAACCACTCTCCACACACTTTAAAGAGCCTATTCCTATCGTTCATTGATACCTTCACTTTAAAACTAGAGTTAATCTTGTTGTTTTTGTCATTGTGCCATTAAGTTGATTCAGACTCACAGCGACCCTGTGTCACAGAGTAGAATTTCCCATGGCCCTGTATGGTTTTCTAGGCTGTAACCTGCACGGGAGCAGAAGGTCAGGTCTTTCTCCACAAAGCTGCCGCGTATGTTTGAACTGCCAACCTTTCCATTAGTAGTGGGGCACTTATATGTTGCATTCATTTTAGTCACAAAGTTTGATCTCAATTCACAACTGAAAAAACCAAAAGCTCTGTGAACTTACCCTTATACTTAAGTTGAGACCTTTTGGATTATAAACTGGAACTTTAAGATATGACTTTAGGTGAGACTGTAGTTTTGTTATAGTTGCTGGTGTATGTTGTTCTAAAAAGACATGAAATATAGTTTAGGCACACATGCTATTTTCTCATCATGCACAAATGCATACATTACATACATACATATACATTTCTGCTACATACATTATCAGACAATGCAGGATTCTGCTCCATAACATGACTTAGCTATCCCATAATCCAAGTTCTGCTTGGCTTTGTGTAAGATATCTTTATAGTAAATTAGGATCAGCATCTCACATTGCCTACAGGGACACCTTCAGGATGGCCAAGACCTCTGACCATCTTAATTCAGGGTGACCTTTTCTTTCTAGTCTCATGATATGCCCAGTCCTGACCTGCACATACTTTGTGTCTTTGACAGTGAGATTATCCTAGGACACCTTTCCCCAAACCCACTGCCATCGAGTCAACTCTGACTCATAGTGACCCTTCAGGACAGAGTACAACTGCCCCGCAGGGTTTCATACACTGTAAATCTTTATGGAAGCAGACTGCCATATCTTTTTCCTGGAGTGGCTGATGGGATCAAACCACCAACTCGTTGGTTAGCAGCTGAGTGCTTTAACCACTATATCACAAGGACTCCTTTAGTTGTTTAGTAAAGTAGCAGAAAAACTTCACTATATGATTGCTTAATTCTTTTCCAAAAGAAGTGATTAGTCACCTCTGGCTTTCTTTTCAAACCAGACACGTAGTAAGAAGTGAGAAGCTGCAGTGGTGCACTGGTTCACTAGATTAAAAGGGAAAAACTCTGCTTGTAGCATTTGCTGGTTTCCATGGTATAAGCCACAGGGATCCAGATGAGGAGAGAGAACTCAGGCACACCCAAAGCAGCAGGGTGGGAGAGCGGGAGAAAGGGGATAAAAAGCCAGGAACCAGGAGAGAGGAGCAGTTAGCTACAGGGGTCCAGGTGAGGAGAGAGAACCCAGGCACTTCCAAAGCAGTAGGACGGTAGAGTGGGAGAAGGGGGATAAAAGGCAGGAACCTGGACAGAGGAGCAGTCAGCCACAGAGATCCAGGTGAGGAGAGGGAACTAAGGCACACCTAAAGCAGCAGGGTGGGAGAGTGGGAGAAAGGGGATTAAAAGTCAGGAACCAGGACAGAGGAGCAGTCAGCTGCAGGGGTCCAGGTGAGGAGAGAGAACCTAGGCACGCCCAAAGCAGCAGTGCAGGAGGGCGGGAGAAAGAAGATTAAAAGGCCCAGGAACCCGGACAGAGGAGGAGTCAGCCGCAGGGACCCAGGTAAGGGTGGTACAAGAGTTTTCCAACAGGGAGGCAAACTTGTCTGTTGGTTTGTCCTACTGTGGTGATGTGTTGATGTGAGTTTTGAGGCTGAGCCACTGGTGTTTCAAACCCAGCAGGATGCACATGGTGCACAGGTATCAGCCCAGCTTACAGACTGAGACAGACTAGGAAGAAGGAAGAGGCCGTCCACTTCTCAAAGAACTGGTCAGGGAAAACCTTATGAATAGCAAAGAAACACTGTTTGATACATTATTGTGCAACTTTATGAATAGTCCGGTTAGATTAGAAGGCTCCCAAAATAGGACTGGGAAAGAGCTACATCATCTGACTAAACCCAACCTTACTCCTACCGATAAGGTAAAGCTTTCAGGACCTCCATTTGCTGATATGGCACCACTCAAATTAAAGAGAAATAGCTGCAGACATCCATTAATCATCGGAACATGGAATGTAC